AATCTCAATAACCCTGTCTGTCTGTCTGTCTCTACAAATCTCAATGTCCCTGTCTGTCTGTCTGTCTCTACAAATCTCAATGTCCCTGTCTGTCTGTCTGTCTCTGCAAATCTCAATGTCCCTGTCTGTCTGTCTGTCTCTACAAATCTCAATGTCCCTATCTGTCTGTCTGTCTCTACAAATCTCAATACCCCTGTCTGTCTGTCTGTCTCTACAAATCTCAATACCCCTGTCTGTCTGTCTGTCTGTCTCCACAAATCTCAATGTTTCTATCTGTCTGTCTGTCTCTACAAATCTCAATGTCCCTGTCTGTCTCTCTGTTTCTACAAATCTCAATATCTCTGTCTGTCTGTCTCTACAAATCTCAATACCCCTGTCTGTCTGTCTCTACAAATCTCAATGTCCCTATCTGTCTCTCTGTCTCTACAAATCTCAATACCCCTGTCTGTCTGTCTCTACAAATCTCAATACCCCTGTCTGTCTCTCTGTTTCTACAATTCTCAATACCCCTGTCTGTCTCTCTGTTTCTACAAATCTCAATACCCCTGTCTGTCTGTCTGTCTCTACAAATCTCAATACCCCTGTCTGTCTCTCTGTTCTACAATTCTCAATACCCTGTCTGTCTGTCTCTACAAATCTCAATACCCCTGTCTGTCTGTCTCTACAAATCTCAATACCCCTGTCTGTCTGTCTGTCTCTACAAATCTCAATGTCCCTGTCTGTCTGTCTGTCTCTACAAATCTCAATGTCCCTGTCTGTCTGTCTGTCTCTACAAATCTCAATGTCCCTGTCTGTCTGTCTGTCTCTACAAATCTCAATACCCCTGTCTGTCTGTCTGTCTCTACAAATCTCAATACCCCTGTCTGTCTGTCTCTACAAATCTCAATACCCCTGTCTGTCTGTCTGTTTCTACAAATCTCAACATCCCTGTTTGTCTCTCTGTCTCTACAAATCTCAAGCGTGCACGTTGATTGGCGCTTGGGAGACTCGCGCAGAGTCGCAGCCGGAGTCGCTGTGGATTGTTGGAAATGTGCGTAAGAGACGGGAGGCTCGCTCTCCTGACGGCCTTGCCGCTTGTCTGTTGAAGGGAGATGGAACTCCGAGTAACAATGATCTGTTTTCTTTGAGACACGCAACAAACAACCCGCTTCACCACCGTCGCTTCGCAAGGGGCTCACGGCGCAGACGCGCAAGAACCAACGTCTTTACATTCATGCAAAACGCATGCTGAATAATAAGCTCGAAATGCATTCGGGCTAATGGAATAAAACTATTAATACAAATGGGGCGTTACAAATAATAAACGGTGCGGATGAGGTGTAAAAGCGAAATAAAGAATCTTCAGTTTCATCGTTTCCCTGCAATCGTCACAAATCATGAACTCGCCAGGCAGGTGAAGTGTCACTCCCCGGTGCGGTGTCCCCGGAATAGCGAACAAAATTTATGCTCCGTTTATTTAAAAAACACTTTCAGATTGTTTTCTTCTCACACGTGGCTGCAAGATGTCCACGAGCTGAATGGCAAAGTGGAGGTCTGCTGCTGCAGCTGCTGGCCATGACGAGAGGGCTTAGCTGAGAGAGAGAGAGTCCGTGTCGTGTCGCCGTTCCTCCTCCTGCGTTGCAGGAGCGCAAACTCCCGTAGTGGGTCACTCGGAATGGTGCGGAGCTTGGGTGGCATGGCTACAATCGCGCAGTGGCTTGCTTTAACGAACCTCTGTGGGTCACGTTGTATCTCTACGAGTCTCTCCCTATCTCCACGTGTCTCTGTGGGTCTCTGCGGACTGCCGATATGGCCCACAGTTTGGCTTGCACGACCACAGTCGCACCAACGCGCCTCGTGTTTACATTTCCACTTTCAGGTGCACGCCGATGCCGTGCAGGTGAGGGCGTTAGAGAGAGACTCTTGACTTTTAAACAACTTGTATTGCCGCCAGCAGCAACAGCACAGGAGGCGATTCCGATACGAAATACACAAAGTCACCAGCAAAACATAAACAAACGCTATAAATGCACGCGCTGTGGCGCTAAATGCAGAGCCAGAGAGCGAGAGAGGGAGAGAGGGAGAGCTTCCGCCATACGCGGCTGACCCACGCCGTGCCGGCCTTCAAGGAGCAGTGGGCGATGGAGGAGGCCGTGTGCTCGGTGGCAGATGACGGGGAGCTCTGCATGCTGATATGAGCTACCCGTCGGAGGGCGTCCGACTGCGAGAAGGCTGCGTGCAGAACGAGAGAGTGAGCGAGAGAGAGCGAGCGAGATAGTGAGCGAGAGGTGGGGGTTTACATAAAGCAAAGTTATTATTATAAAACAAAAAATTACGAATTCATGAACGAAGCAAAGTGCCGACTACACCGAGCATCTTTTTGTTTCCACTAATCGTAAAGAAAAGAGCGAGAGAGAGAGCGAGAGAGAGAGGGAGAACGTCTCAGAAATGCATCGACCGCAGCAGCCAGCGGTGTGGGGCCCGCGACCTCCAAGACGCGAGGGCGGCACGGATTGTCGGTGGCGGCACCACGTCCCCGGCAGGGACTCGGCAATTGTGGTCGTGGGTGGGGTGCGTGAGACTCACGGGCGGGCCGCCCTCGCCCACTGACTTGGGCGCAGCCCCGCGGCGTTCAGTTACAGCGACCGCACCTTGGCCGCCGATGACACCTCGAGCGAGAGTTTTGTTGACACGCGGTTCTGACGTTTCATCGACACTCTCGCAGACGGCCCCGGCTCGCCTCCTCGCCCGCCGCTGCCGCCGCTGTTGCTGCTGCGCCCTGCAGATCCCAGACACTCAACGCAGACTCGGCTGCTCTGTCAGCACGCAGTGATCCCGTGCCGCTTTGCCAGCGTTGAGCCCCCTTCGTTGGCAACAGCAGCACGCGCACCGGCCGCGGAGACGTGGGACGTCCCGAGGCTTCGCGCACTCCAAGTCCGCTGCCTGGAGACCCCATTGGGGGGTCCCGGTCTGCCTCGTCTCCTCGCCGGAGACCCCCGACAGACTGATCTGTCAGTCCGCAGTCTGGAGACCCCATTGGGGGGTCCCGGTCTGCCTCGCCTCCTCGCCGGAGACCCCCGACAGACTGATCTGTCAGTCCGCAGTCTGGAGACCCCATTGGGGGGTCCCGGTCTGCCTCGTCTCCTCGCCGGAGACCCCCGACAAACCGGTCTGTCAGTCCGATGTCTGGAGACCCCATTGGGGGGTCGCGGTCTGCCTCGCCTCCTCCCCGGAGACCCCCGACAGACTGATCTGTCAGTCCGCTGTCTGGAGACCGCCAACAAAGGAGGGTGCGAGTCGGGGGTAAATTAGGAACGCATGCGAACATGTACACACACACACAGGTATACCAGTGCCGGGTTAAGCTGGCGCGGGGCCTGTAGCATATGTTATGAAGGGGCCCTAAATAAATAAGTAAACACTTAAATATTAAAACACAATTTTTTTTACTTGCATAGTAAAGTGATTGTATTTTTTCATTTGCTATACAGCCCGATAATACGACAAATCGCTAACCTTAAACACCCAGTCGTTCATAAAAGTTGAAGGCGGTATAGTACTATAGTAATAGCGCAAGTGCAGAATCACTGAACCGGAATTGATAGCTTGAAAGCATTTAGCGCGGGGCCCTTGAAAGTGCGGGGCCCGTAGCTGCTACACATGTAGTAGCTACTACGCATGTAGTAGCTACTACGCATGTAGTAGCTACTACATGTACTACTTGTTTATGTAGTAGCTACATGTGTAGCTGCTGCATGTGTAGCTGCTGCATGTGTAGCTGCTGCATTTGTAGCTACTACATGTGTAGCTACTACATGTGTAGCTACTTGTGTAGCTACTACACGTGTAGCTACTACACGTGTTGTAGCTACTTGTGCTACTAGGGTAATCCGGCACTGAGGTATACACAACGACAAGCGGTCTGCGTAGAGCCATGCACACCCGCAGGGCACGTGCTGTTAGCGAGCGCCTATTTAGGGCAGCACAAGGCACCGAGGGGCTGCGGCCAGAACGACCCCTTTCCATCTTTGTTTCCACAGCGTCCGTCTTCGCACAGCGTGCACAATTTGGAATTCCCATCTGAGCACGTCCACTGTGTACTCAATAAAACATTCCGCGTGTAACAAGATCCATCAGTAAGCAGCTCGCCTCTTCCACATATCTCCCCCTCTAAAAAAAAATCTATTTTAACGCGTCCCATCAGCCATACGCCATTCTGGGAGTGCATATTTACAACAGCATTGGTTCAATTACGGGCAAAACTCTGCATCGGGTTTCGACGGCCAGTGTCTCATCAGCAGCGTCAACAGATGACGAGCCGTGAAGTGGAGGGAGGATGCGAGCCATGCGACGGGTCCCAGAGATACAGAGCGCGGGCAGAGCCTCGCTTAGCGCGACCCCGTAGAACGCCGATTCGATTCGCGCTCACTGCCCCAGGGAACGCATCTTGAGCGCTAAGCGAGGTCTGCCTGTACGTTATGAATCCACTCGAGTAGCCAATTAACAGAATCCATCAGCACATTCCATGCGGGCAACGGCCCTCCTTCATCACGTGCCATTAAGGGCTCGTGCACGAAACGTCGCTTTTGATATATTTTGATTCCTTTGAAGGCCACAGTGTTATTATTATTGCAGAGTGTGTAATGCCACTACTAACGCAGCAGCAGCTGGTCCGTTCAATGTTGCACCTCACTGGCGGGCCGCCTCGCCCCGCGTGGCCACCGGGGAGTGACGTCGCCGGTCGATTTTGTCCCCGCGGGCTTAAGCCTCTCCGGCCCCAGCGGCAGATCGAGCGCGCAGCTGACGCGGCACGCGGAACCCGACTCACGACCCTTGGAGCGTGGGTCACCAGCGGAGCCGTGCCGTGCTCACACTCGCGCACTCGCTCAGGGAGAGTGCCACCACCACTTGTGGTGGACTTGAGAGCACGTGTGGTGCATTTCCTCCTGCAGACGGCGCAGTGGTAGCAGGCGCACCTCGGGGCTGATAAAAGCGACGCGCGCCCCCTCTCTCTCGCACACACACAGCCACCGCTCTCTCTCTCTCTCTCCTCCTGCTCGCAACACTCCCCTCGCTCTCAGCTGTCTTCCTCGCTCCTCGACAGACGGGATGAGAGGAACTCCGTGAGAGGAGCTGGGGACAGGCAGGCATGGCCCACTGTGCCACCACCACCACCGCTGCCGCCGCCGCTGCTGCTGCTGGCAAGGAGAGGCGCGGCGTGGAGGAGTGAATCTGTGAGGAGGTTGCTGGCTGCGAGACGAGGACTGGAGATTCGCGTGGTCTCCCCGCGTGGAGGAAGGAAGGAGGAGGAGGAGGGGGGGCAGCGTCGACTTTACGCGCCCTGGGTGCCGCAGCGTCGTCTGCGTCTATCGGCGGCTCCTCCTGCAGGTCCCTCGAGCTCGTGACCAGGCGATGGGTCGGGGCCGGTGGCCTCCTCCCGAGTGAACGTCTCTCTCCCTCCGTGTCGCTGCTGTCTTCAATCAAATCGCCGCCGACGCTGTTGGTTGCGGAGCAATGCGCTGGCTGGAGGCCGCCTAATCACTCGGTAAGGACTCCGCGACGCTCCTGCCGCCCCTCCTCCTGCTGCCGCTGCTGCTGCTCTTTAGCTCCGCGAGTCGTAAATCACCGACAGAGTGGGGACGGCGTTCGGGGTGGGGGGGCGAGCAACGAGCAGCGGACTTCGCATCCCAGAAGGGCGCAGGTTCGAGTCACGGCGCGGCAAAGTTCCTCCACGCCGCCTCCGCTGTCCACTCAGCAGCATCGGGCAGCAGTCGCGGCTGTCGGCAGATTGTCGCGTGTGGTGGTGGTGGTGGTTGTGGGTGGTGGTGGTGGGGTAAACTGTGGGTAACTGCCACCATTTTTAAAACATCAGAGAAGCGCGACAGGGCAGTGCCCAATACCATCTACGGAAGGGGGGGGCTCTCCTCTAGAGCCCCCCCCCCGCCTCTCGCAATGGAGGCCCTTCACTTCGCCAACAGCGGCGAGAGCGAGAACTTGCAGGGCTGCGCCTCTAGCCACGAGTGCGTGCCGACGGCTGCTCGGGAGGGCGTCCCCGTGAGTGGCTCGACTCCTCGCAGGGGCTTCGTTCGGGGCTCGCGGAATCGTCGTCGTCCCCCCGTTTCCCTGTCTGCGCGACTCAAAAAAGCGATTTGGTCAAAGTCGCCGCGTCCTGGAGGAGCGCATCGCCCGAGACGGTGCCTCCAAAATAGTGGCCGCCGACAAGGGGCGGCACGCCGCCTGTCCTCCTGCTGCCCGGTGGGGTCACGGGGGTCACAGGGGTCACGGGAGTCACAGGGGTCACGGGGGCCACAGGGGTCACGGGGGCCACAGGGGTCACGGGGGTCACGGGGGTGGCTCGCGTGTCCAGCGCGTGGCGCACGGCGTGGGGTCGTCGAGTCGAGGCATCGGGGCGATGCGCAACGGGGTTCGAGTGAAACTCGAGAGGGGCTCACTGCCGAGTCCCCTCGAGAGCATCATCGAGGGCGAGCAAAGCCCCGGGGGGCAGCTCCTTCACCTTTGAGCGTCCACCCAGCGCGTGCACGGGGGCGCACCAGGCCGCCAGAGAGACGCGGCGCGTTCCTCTCGCGACGAGAACTCCACCCACGCGGCGTCGGCCAGCAGCTCGGAGTGAACGGAGCTCCAGACGCCTCATCCCGCTTGATGTGTGCGGCGATAGCACCGAGGAGCGGTGGCGCAGTGGTTAGCGCACTGCGCCGCACACCCCGGTGACCCGAGTTCGTCGATTCCCGCTCCACGAGCAATAGCGGTGGGGGGTATTTGAAATCGTTCCTGGGCCTCGCCTAGGTCGACTCGGCCTCAAATGAGTACCTGGTGCGGTGAGTAAACATCGCGGTAGGACGTGGTGCTGGCCACGCCTCGTGTATCGTGCCCCCCTGAAGGCCCCACGGGGGATCGTTGTGCAGCAGCAGCAGCAGCGCTATTGTTGTAAACAAAGTTGCAGAGCAAAGGGTCCACAACTTGGAGCGGCCAGCCACGAACAGCACGATAATCAACGTTGTGATCGATAAGAGCGTACGGAGTGTTTCTCGAATGGAGAAAGGCGATGAGAGCTTGGGCAGGAAGGGATGACCGGGGGGGGGGGGAATCCCACGGTGGATCGGTGCGAGAGAAGGCGCAGACAGACAGAGACAGAGAGATGCGTCTGGGGTCAGGCCACGCGAAGTCGTTCACGCCCAAGGGGTCACGATTCGTGATTCGTTTCCTTGAGGGCGTAGACCGCGTCGTGACGTTGGGTGTGATCTTGAGGACTCGTGTCGGATGGAAATGGTCAACAACGTAACCGGCGTCTCGACATCACCACTCGCTTTGCTCATCAACCAAATCAATCGTCGTGTTTGCCCACGTAACTCGCTTTCCTCGGTCGGGTGGTGGAGGGGTGTCGTGAAAACAATGACATTTCACACAATGGCATTTTACACAATGGCATTTCACACAATGACATTTTACCGACACGATCTGACCCAAGGTAAACGAATTATGAATCAGAAGTATTGTGACCTGCAATGTGTGTGTGTGGATATTGCACTTCTTTCGCACCGTACGTAGCCAACCGTGCTAATCCGAGGTGTATGTCCGGTGGGTGGATCAGGGAGTGTATGAGTGGGTGTGTGCGTGGGTGGGTGCGTGAGTGGGTGGTTGAGTGAGTTGCGTGGGTGGGTGCGTGAGTGGGTGGGTGAGTGGGTGGGTGCGTGAGTGGGCGAGTGGGTGTGTGAGTGAGTGGGTGTGTGGGTGCGTGAGTGAGTGGGTGTGTGGGTGCGTGAGTGAGTGAGTGGGTGTGTGAGTGGGTGTGTGAGTGAGTGGGTGTGTGAGTGAGTGTGTGTGTGGGTGCGAGAGTGAGTGAGTGGGTGTGTGACTGAGTGTGTTGTCTTGGGCCGTGGGGTGGTGGTGCAACACAGCGTGGCTGAGACGAGACAGCCTGAGACGAGACCCACACGTCCGCTGCCGCTGTTTGTCGCACAATCCGCTGCTGCCGCTGCAGCTGTCTGGGTGCTGTCTGGAAAGACGCCCGCGCGCTCTTCTCTCCCCGCAGACAGCTTCTGTCACCAAGCCGAGGTCCCCGCTCGCGAGCTCGCCCAGGGAGCTCGCGGCCCACGGGGAGGAGGCGGCGGCACTCGGCCTCGACTCGCCGCTCCATCTCGCCGACATGGCCCGGGCCCCGTCCGCGTCGCCGACCCCCCGGGACGAGCGGACCCCGCGGCAACGGCGACCGCCGCCGCTGCCGCCGCTGCTGCTGCTGCTCGCGTGGACCTGCTGCTGCTCCTGCTCCTGCTGCTGGGGCTGCCAGCTGCCCCAGGACTGGCGGCCGCAGAGCGAAGCGTGTCGCGCCGAGTTGGCCGAGATCATCGTGATGGCCAAGGTGCTGGCGCTGCACCAGGACTCGTACGGGGTGCACAACCTCCTGCCGTGGCAGGGGGGCGGCGGCGACTCCTCGGAGCTGCTGTACGCCGCCGAGGTGGAGCTGCTGTGCGACCAGGCCTGGGGCTCCATGCTCGAGATGCCCGCCGGAGCACGCTTCAATGTCACGGGCCTCGGCTACTTCTCGTGCCACTCCTACACCGTCATGGAGAACAACACCTACTTCTTGTTCCTCAGGTGCGCCTCGGACTCCTCGTCCTCGTGTCATCGACATCATCATCGGCATTGCCATCGTCGTCATCATCAGCGTCGCGTCATTTGGGGCAGGCCATAAATGACGTCACGCACCTGGGGGGGTTTGGGGGGGGGGTCAAACATTTGTGACGATGTGTGACGAGGGGAGGGGGGGGGTTGAGAAATGTGACGTCGCATCAAAATGCGCAACTTTAAATAAATATAGACAACACGTTCTACTTAATTAAATAGACGTTTTAATAAATGTTTTCTCCTACAACATCAGAGTACAGCGCCACATTAAATACGCACTACAATGACAATAGTTTAACGCGATTTGAAGCATGTTTTTTTTTCAAAATGGAAATATGGTTTGGAGGGGGGGAGGGGGGCAGAGCTTTGTGACGTCATATTTGAGAGGGGGGGTCTGACTTTTTGTGACGCCGTGTGACGAGGGGGGGGGGGGGGTCAAAAATCGTCCAAAATCGCGTGACGTCATTTATGGACGGCCCCTTATCACCATCACCGTCGTCACTGTCATCATCGGCACTTCCATCCATGTCCCCCCGCTGTTGGCGGTGCTGTTCGTTGCCGGCCGCTCGGCGCTTTAGGCCCTGGCCGTTGCTTGTAGGGGTGACCACGCGGGCAGGCCGGGTGCTGTGGGAGGAGCTTAATCAGCTGGAGCACTCTGGGCGTGGCTTGTTGGGGGGTTTCCCGCCTTCGCGAGTCAGGATGCTGGGAAGGGGAGGGGGGCCCTAAGTGGCCAGGGCTTGTTGTGGGTGACCACGTCAACCCTGGCAAACTGCAGCCCGCTCACGCACCACGAGACATCCTGTAGGTCCGCTCGGCGTGAAATAAACAACGCGCATCTGGTCCGGCGTGTTCCAACATCAGCACCGGAGAGACAAAGGCGGTCAAGGCGTGCGTGCTGATCGCCACCCTCTCCCTCGTGTGCCGAGCTGGCTGGCCTCGTCATCGGTGCTCGCTCGCATCACGTGACGCCCCGCATCACGTGACGTCACCCCGCATCACGTGACGCCGCACCGCAGCACGTGCCGCCCCTCCTTCGTGTTGTGTGTGCGCGTGTTTGTGTTTGTGGGGAGCGGTGGTGCAGCGGTTAGCGCGCTGCGCTATGAACCTGGCCACCCGGGTTCGATTCCCGCTCACGGCCAACACCGGTGACGATTATCTGAACCGGTCCTGGGCTTCCCCAAGGTGCAATCCCCGACGCTGATGCCTGAATGTTTGAGGTTTGCATGTTCCATCTCCCCGACGTCGCGTGGATTGTTTTTCTCCCGGTCCTAGTTTTTCCCTGCACATTTAGAAACGTGCGTTAAGAGCGTTTGGCTGCTGTACATGTCCACACGATAAGCAACTTTGTTGAGCTATCATTTGTGATGGCCAGGTCGCTTCTGAAAAACAGCCACACAGCTCAATGGGGCCCTACCTGGTAAAATAACAAAAAAAAAGTGATAAAATAGTGTGACTCAACCTCAAATCCGTACCCGATGCGGTGTGTAAGCATCGCCACTTAGGGAGACAAAGGCGGCCGGGCGTGGTGATTGACCACCCAACACCCTCGCGTGCCGTGCCGGCCTTCACTTCGGCGCTCGCCATTCTCCCCAGCAGTCCGCTAAGGCCGCGCGGGGGATCTTTGTGCGTGTTACGTGCGCGTGTGTCAACACCCCCCGGGGCTGTCGTCAAGCGCCGTCCATTGGCGCGAGCCCCATTCCCCAGCGCGCGCGAGGACAACGCCCGGCTTGTCGCGATCCTGAACGCGCCCGACGCGTGCCGTGCCCTTCCTGTTTGCCGCTCGCGAAGAGCCTCGAGGATTTCCCCGCCCTCACCCCCCCGAATCCTTAGTATTTCCCTTCGAACGCCAAAATAAAAAGGTGGAGACTGGGCTCGCTTCGTTGGCGCGCGCCAGGGTCGCGGACGTGCGGAGACACAGGATCGCCGCCCTTGTTGAGACGAGAGCGCTGCTAGCGAACACCTCTTGATTTGATTTCCTACCCACGTGACTTTACCGAAAGAACCAAAGAGTATGGATTCCTGCGGTCACGACAGCTTCAAATCGAGATTTAACACATCTTGAGGCTGGCGCGACCTCGTGTGTGAGCGAGTGAGTGAAGGGAGGTACGCGCGCGGGTAGGTGGGTGGGTGGGTGTAGCCGGCATTGACTTACATCGGAGGCTTCCACTTGATTTGGCGAATGTCCAGTGCTGACGATTGAACGACGAGTTCAACTCGTAACGCAGCGACGCCACCGCCATCCGTTCGCTCGCCCTGAGAGGCGCGAGGAGGAGCCGAGGACGAGCGAGAATGCAGCAGCACCCATGCGGTCAGCCGGCGCCACGCCGCTTCCCCTCGAGCTCTGCGGTCCTCTACATATTAAGATGTTACGGGCCGAGTTCTGAGCGTACACGTGAGAGGAGCCCACGCTCGGCAGTGCAGACAGGAGCCCCATCTCGTGGTGCGGGAGAGGGTGAGCGGGCTGGAGAGTTGATTGCGCCGCTGAAAGTAGAAGACGTACCCAGCTCGTAGAGCGAAACGTCGGACATCGCGGTAAACAGCGCACGGCACGACCCACGCAGAGGCACCGAAGCCAGGTTAGACCAAGCCTGGGTATGTACGGGGATTGGTATCCGCGTGTGTGTACACATGTGTGTGTACCTGTGTGTGTACCTGTGTGTACATGTGTGTGCCCTGTGTGTGTACCTGTGTGCCCTGTGTGTACCTTTGTGTACCTGTGTGTGTGTACCTGTGTGTGTACCTGTGTGTACCTGTGTGTGCGTACCTGTGTGTGTAACTGTGTGTACCTGTGTGTGTACCTGTGTGCATACCTGTGTGTACCTGTGTGTACCTGTGTGTGTACCTGTGTGTGTGTACCTGTGTGTGTACCTGTGCATACCTGTGTGTACCTGTGTGTGTACCTGTGTGTGTACCTGTGTGTAGCTGTGTGTGTACCTGTGTGTGTACCTGTGTACCTGTGTGTGTTCCTGTGTGTGTACCTGTGTGTGTACCTGTGTGTGTACCTGTGTGCGTACCTGTGTGTATCTGTGTACCTGTGTGTGTACCTGTGTGTGTACCTGTGTGTATACGTGTGTGTACCTGTGTGCGTACCTGTGTGTATCTGTGTACCTGTGTGTGCCTGTGTGTGTACCTGTGCGTACCTGTGTGTGTACCTGTGTGTACCTGTGTGTGTACCTGTGTGTGTACCTGTGCGTACCTGTGTGCGTACCTGAGCGTACCTGAGCGTACCTGTGTGTGTACCTGTGTGTAACTGTGTGTGTACCTGTGTACCTGTGTGTGTACCTGTGTGTGTACCTGTGTGTATACCTGTGTGTACCTGTGCGTACCTGTGTGTGTACCTGTGCGTACCTGTGTGTGTACCTGTGTGTACCTGTGCGTACCTGTGTGTGTACCTGTGTGTGTGTGTACCTGTGTGTGTACCTGTGTGTGTACCGGTATGTGTACCTGTGTGTGTACCTGTGTGTGTACCTGTGTGTACCTGTGTGTGTACCTGTGTGTGTACCTGTGTGTACCTGTGCGTACCTGTGTGTGTACCTGTGTGTGTGCCTGTGTGTGTAACTGTGTGTACCTGTGTGTGTACCTGTGTGTGCCTGTGTGTACCTGTGTGTGTACCTGTGCGTACCTGTGTGCGTACCTGTGCGTACCTTAGCGTACCTGTGTGTGTACCTATGTGTGTACCTGTGCGTACCTGTGTGTACCGGTGTGTGCATGTGTGTGTACCTGTGTGTGTACCTGTGTGTGTACCTGTGCGTACCTGTGTGTACCTGTGTGCGTACCTGTGTGTGTACCTGTGCATACATGTGTGTACCTGTGTGTATACCTGTGTGTGTACCTGTGCATACCTTTGTGTACCTGTGTGTGTACCTGAGCATACACAGAAAGGTACGCTCAGGTACACACACCGTGCTCCCCGGGCGTGGTATTGGCCACCCACTCTCTCGTGTGCCGTTCCGGCCTTCATAGGTGCTACTCGCTAACAGCACTTGCTACCAACAGTCTGTTAAGGCTCCACGGGGGACCTTTGTCTTTGCGCTCCCCGTCAGGATGGATGAGAACTACCACCTCGTGCCGCACGGCGTCAACTTCCAGGACGCCATCTTCCCCGAGACGCAGGACACGCGCCGGATGTTCTCCAGCCTCTTCCAGTTCTCCAACTGCTCGCAGGGCGCGCAGGTCCACCTCTACTCGCCCGAGTGGGAGATGCAGCAGGACAACGAGGTGAGTAGGCAGCAGCAGCGGCGGCAGCAGGGACGGACGGCAGCTCCCGTGCACGGCTGCCAGCCCTTGGGCCGCGTCCTCCAGAGGCAATGCCACCAACAAATACTTACTCGCGGGTAACCGCCCACGGTGGCCATTGCGAGCAAATATTGTCTTCGGTAATCGAGCGCTCCGTGCCGATCGCAAATGCGTGCGATCGTAAAGTCGCGCCGGAAGCTTTTCGCGAGATAAACAGCTTAAACATACGCTCCAAGCGTGGTGGTGTTTCATTCAGACGCTGTCTCCCCGACAGACCTGGTCTTCACCTGAGGACGTCTACTTGCGTTGTGGCCGAAACGTCAGGAGAATTATTTTATGATGTTTTATTTTTATTATTTTATTATTTCCCTTCTACGTGACTTTACCGAAATAACCAAGAAGAGATGAACGCCGTTAGGGAAGGGTGCCTTACTTGATGTACAATAGCGGTGTTGGGGATGTTGCCCACGGTGGAAACTGATCCCGTTTGCCACCCCAAGTGGGTACAGGGCCCAGGCCCCTTGGCCTGTGGGCCACGTGGTAGGGGGCTTGCTGCTCCTGGTGGGAGATATTGGGGTGGAGGTACAACGTAACTAACACACCTCTTATCCTCATTCAAACTCGCTCTCAACAGCCAGCAATGTGCTCCAGCACATTGGAGGCGAGGGTTTGTGCATCACAAAGATTTGTGAGACTCTAAAACCCTCTGGCCCAAGGTTCAAGTTCATTTATTAGGTATAGCCCTGTGAGCCATTCGGCTCTTGAATCGGGTGCAACCGCAACAAACAAAAAAAACAAAAACATGAACAAGAAAAAAAGGTAGCCAAGAGATGTCATCAGAGCAGGTAGATTGTTGAATCCATTCGCACGGATCTTCTCGCGTTATTGCTTCCTTTGCGTGGATTTTGTTCGTGTGCTCAGGTTTCCTCCCGCAGACAAAACGCTCATTGATGAGAATGGGCAAACATCCCAACGCACGAGCCTCGGGACTCCGTACGGATTTGCCGGATAAATAAAGGCGATGAGCTCCCGTGAGAGTCAGATGTTCATTGGCAGTAGCGCCTATAGCTGAGATGGGTTTTTTTACGTTCAAAATGCCACCACATTGAATTGACGTAACGAGATTTGCCGTTCCCACTGCGGAATGAGAGGCCACTCGTGCACACGACAAATGCCTTATTAATCAAGTTTAAATCTCGACTTAAAGCTTTCGTGACTGCAGGAATTCATACTCTTTGGGTCTTTCGTTAAAGTCACGTAGACGGGTTCAAAGAAATAACCATTCTACGTGACTTCACCGAAAGACCTAAAAAATATAATCAGGATTACTTTACCACGGATAGCTTGCGTCATGTGCCCGCATTCAATGGTCCTCGCTAACAGCCCTTGCCCCAATAGTGTGTTAAACCCATACAGGCATCTTTGTCTTTGGGACCTGAGTGCGAGCGCGAGAGAAAGCCACTTCATCACAAGACGCGAGGGTGCCGTCGTGCGCTCGGCCAGGTCGAGGGCTCGAGCCAAGCGATCTCGCCTGCCTTACCACGCACGGGCCACGCGCCGTGGTCTCTGGCAGTGCTAGATTTGAAGCTTTCGTGACTGCAAGGATTCATACTCTTAGTTCTTTCGGTAAAGTGACGTAGGTAAAAAATGAAATTAAAATTAATAAAAATAAAATAATAAAAATCACGACGTTTCGGAGGCAACACAAGTCTCCGTCATCAGGTGGGACCGTCACAGCCAGATTTGCTGCATCAAGTGAGGCAGGGATTCAAGATGCAAGCTCTTAAATATTAAATTAAACATAAATGTATTAATTTTAATTGCATTTTTTACCTACGTGACTTTATCGAAAGAACTAAGAGTATGAGTCCTCTGGCAGTGCCACACCGGCGAAGTGGCTGGCGCCGAGCTCAGAGGACCGCTGTGTGCAGCGTGGGGGGGGGGGGGGGGGGCAGCACGCGGGGGCAGCACGCGGGGCAGCCGGGCACAGCACGCAGAGAGAGCTCACGGGGGGCTCTGGCGTGAGAAGCCGCATCCACCCAGAGGCCCTCCCGAAGCCAATGGTCTCCCCTGCAGCCATGCAGACTGTTGGGGCAAGTATACGCTTAGGTTTTTTCGATAAAGTCACGTAGGTAAAAAATAAAAAAATAAAAAATCACGACGTTTCGGAGGCAACACAAGCTTCCGTCTTCAGGTGGAACCGTCTCAGCACGACTGCTGTATTAAGTTGGGGCAAGTGTTGCCAGCGAGCACCGATGCATGTCAATGCGACACGGGAGAGGGTGGTGTGGTCAGCGCCACTGCCGATGTTAATACGTCACACCAGGCGCTCGTTTAAGGCTGAGTCTACCTAGATGAGGCCCAGAACCGGGATCAGATTTGTCGCTGATGTTGGCTGTGAGCGAGAGTCGGGTCGTTGGGTTCAGCGCGCAGCGTGCCGACCGCTACGCTGGCCAAATAAACACGGAGATCTTATCCTAATCCAAACCCTTTCTCTCGCTGAATAGCCAAGGCAACAGCCAGAAACACGTTTGCAGCGCGGGCACACAGGGTCTCTTCATCAGCAAAACACAACACAATTGCAGCGTGCTGTTGATGTCACGGTGACATCAACGTTCCTGCGTACATTGTGTCCAGTATGGCGATGGCCACAGCCCAAGAGGCGAGATTGTGGCATTGTTCATGTGTGTAACATAGCAGCAGCAAGGCAAACGCGTGCCAGCTTCACTCTTCTTGGCACTCACCGGTGCAGCGTAGCCATATGATGGCTACTGCCGGCACTTGTGCTCGAGGGACTTGCGTTGAGGAGCAGCCTCGGTGCGCTGGGGACAAATTCATCTCAATGTTGCTTTCATCGCGCCGAGGCTGTGTCAGGTTTGATCAGTCGTCCTGGCACTCTACCCGCGTGTCTACGGCAAGGCCAAGTCACCAGGACCCTTGATGACCTGGGTTCACTTCGTGGCCAGGATGCTCAGCGTGGGTGGCCACCTTATCCCACCATAGGCCGACTGCCAGAACCGCGCAGTTCGCCAAACTGAAGTTCAACACCGGCAACACCGACTCCGGATCTCCGCGCGAATCAAATTTCCGCCACCCGCACACCGGAGCCAAATCCCGGCCTGTTTCGGCAGGCGACCCTGTGCACGGCGTTAAATGTAAATGGTGTGGGGGGGCCTCTAGGTCTACTCAGCCTAAAACGACTACCTGGTGCGGCGGTGCTTTCATCATGAAAGGCGGCCGGCGCGTGGGTGCCGTGCCGTGCGGTGTCGGCATGGCGCGTCCCACGGCAGCACACGGCCGTCTCCTCACCGCTCCACGCGCTGGAGATGGCGCGCCACCCGCAGTCGGAATGGCGACGAGTTCGAATCCGGGCCAGAGGGTGACTCCGGGCCCGTGATCCCTCCGTGCTCGATAAAACCAGAAACCAGAAACGCTGGAAGTCAACAGACGGATGTACTGCGGAGAGACGGGCACTCGCCATGGGAATGTGGAATTTCCACCGCTGGCCCAGGACGTCGAATGTCGATGATTGCTGCCCTTCGCTCGTTTGGGTGCCGAGAGGCTGTAACTCGACCCGACTCGTGATACGTAACGCGTGACATTTCGGAGAATTCCGTTTGACGTGATCGCAATATCGGGTGGCGTCAGATGGAAAACATATCTGATGCTCCGTCTTTGGAGGCCACATTACCAAACGGTGACCTTCTGGGCTGACTTCATTTTTGTTTTTGTTTCAGTAACCCGAATGCAGCTCCCCGTTTGGGCTGCGTGACAGATCGTTTGTCAACCTGTCCCTGAAATCCCCAATCCGTGCTCGATGCATTTCACGGCGAATGCTGGCCGTAACGGCCTTGCTTGAGCGGTGAGTTTGATGATGGATGTTGCCGATTTCCACGCCTGACGTGGCTTCGCTACATCCATCCCGCAGTGGAGGAGACGCATTCGTGGCGCGAAACACGTGCGGATGTCATTTGCCGTGAATCTTTGAGAAACAAGCAATAACCGGTGAACGTTTCCTCTCCGATGACAACTCCAACGGTGCCATCGGAATTTACGAGCGACCAGAGCGCTGCCTCGTGGGGGAACGAACAGAGAGGAGGCCGCGTCAACCACCACCACCACCACCTCACGTCTCAGCACATATCCACCCATTGGGTGCATCTCGCAGGGAGACGATCAACACGGCCCCAATGAGCGTGGAGTCGTGCTATCATTGGTCCACGTTTCCACGGCTCTCTCCGATCGCTCTCTGCACAGAGCAGCCCCCGTTAGACCCCCCCAACTCCCTCACTCACCCACCTACTCACCCACCTACTCACTCAATCACTCTCCCACTGACCCACTGACTCACTCACTCACTCACCCACTCACCCACCCACTCACTCACTCACCCACCTAATCACCCACCTACTCACTCACTCACTCTCTCACTGACCCACTGACCCACTCACTCACTCACTCACCCACCTACTCACTCACTCAACCACCTACTCACCCACCTACTCACTCACTCACTCTCTCACTGACCCACTGACCCACTCACTCACTCACTCACCCACCTACTCACTCACCCACTCACCCACCCACTCACTCACTCACCCACCTACTCACTCATTCTCCCACTGACTCACTCACTCACTCACCCACCTACTCACCCACCTACTCACTCACTCACTCTCCCACTGACCCACTCACTCACCCACCTACTCACTCACCCACTCACCCACCTACTCACTCACTCACTCTCTCACTGACCCACAGACCCACTCACTCACTCACTCCTTTCGCTTCATAAACCCCATGTAGACAACGACCCTCGGAGTGGATGGCCTCATGCCGTTGCAATTTGGAGTTCTCCGTGGCCTGCTCAAGACCGCCGATTGGAGGCGAGGTCCACCCCGCGGAGAGCCGTTGCATTTCTTTGGCTGTTGACAAAAAGTCAGCGCGCTTCAGGGGAGTCGGGCACGATGCGTGGGGCGATGGGCGCCCGATGCGCTCCCCCCCCCTCCCACGCGTCCCGCGAATCCTGCGCCAACGGGAGCCGCGTTTCATAGCAGACAGGCGGGCGGGCGGGCGGCGCCGGATTCAAAGCCGATAGCGATCGCCCCGTGCGGCAGATTCATTGCTGCCTGCCGGGCGTTCAAATCGCCGGGCGCCATCGACTCAACTGGCTCGGAGGTTTCGCCGCAATTCCCCCGGCAGGCATCGCTACCTGCCCGCGGGCTACCAGGCAGGTCAATTCAGCCCCCCGAGAATCGGTCATCCCGGTGCGTGAATGTCGGGCGCTTGGGGGAGACAAAGGCGGCCGGAGCGTGGGTTTAGGCGACTGCCGGCGCGTGATCGAGTGGACGGAGGCTTCCGTGCGTGGCTCGCGTGGTGCCAAGGCGGGCGATTTGCCAGCCAGCGCCCGTGATGGAGTTGAAATTAATTTCCTCCTAAAAATAAACGCGCAGCAGCTCGCGCGAGACGTCACGCCCCGACACGGAATTCTTTATGGACTTATTTTGGTCTCGCGCGGGTGGAATGGGCTGGGGGGTAAAGCCACACAGCTGCAAAAGCCCAAAAAACGTCGAGCGGCCAGCAACGAACGGCGCTGTCGTCGTAGACGCGCGGCACAGAGTTACCAACGCGTCTTGAAATTGAGCAACGCTTCCTAGAGCTGGGGAAAAGAGACGGCGGGAGGGAGTTCGAAGTCTGTGCCATCGCACGGAGTTTCCCCATTCCCCCAATGTGCGTGCCCCCACCACCCCCATCCCCCACCACTGCCCCCCCAACGCCACCACCCCCACCACCCCCTCCATCCCACCACCCCCACCACCACCACTGCCCCCACCACCCCCACCACCACCACCACCACCCCTACCACCACCACCCCCTTCACCCCACCACCCCCAACACCCCCACCACCACCCCCACCACCACCACCCCTTCCACCCCACCACCCCCACCACCACCACCACCACCCCCTCCACCCCCCCTCCACCCCCACCCACCCCCACCACCCCCACCACCCCCACCACCCCCCACCACCTCACCCCCTCCACCCCACCACTCCCACCCCCACCACCCCCCCTCCCCCACCACCCCCACCACTCCCACCCCCACCACCCCCACCACCCCCACCACCCCCACCCCCACCCCCACCACCCCCACCCCCTCCACCCCACCACCACCCCCACCACCCCCCCACCCCCCCACGTGACTGTGTTGCAGTTGCTTTGCGCCCCGATCCAGTCGGCGCTGCTCGAAGAGGAGGACCGCGTGCGGAAGCTCACGAAGCAGCTCTCCGTGCTCGAGAAGAAGAACCGGCACCTGCAGCAAAAGGCAAGTGGACGTCGTTCCCGAGTGCCGACTGCCGGCACGGCTGCTCTACCCCTGCATGCCGGAGTAAGGCAGGCGGGGGGGTGGGGGGGGGGGTCCCGGGGGGGGGGTCCCTACGGGCAGTGGGTGGGGGGCCGTTGTCAGACGTGACTGCCCCGTGTGGCCGGGGCTCACCGAGGGAGGAGGGAGCGACCGTCAGCCCACTGCGCGTCTCGGCTGAGCCTCAAACAAACACAAACAAACACAAACAAACAAACACAAACAAACACAAACACAAACAAACACAAACAAACAAACACAAACAAACACAAACAAACACAAACAAACACAAACAAACACAAACACAAACAAACACAAACAAAGTAACACGTCGTCTTTCGCGACCAATATTATTCACAATAAAGTTTTTTTTGGGTTAAATGATGACGTCACCGTGCTGCTGCTCTATTTAAGACCGGGAGCAAGTGGAGGGCTTCACCATTCTGGCGAATTGCCCGATGATGCCGGATGTAATTACCAGCGAAACGTCGTACTCAAAACACATTCCTGCGGAGGGAGCGGGTAGGAACGTTGGGTTGCTCGGTCAATGGCCAGGGTCAACGGCGGCGTGGTGTATTCCGCAAATATGGCCGACTGTGAGGGCGGGCACAAGCCGGCGTGAGTAGGTTAAACGTTGAGTTTTATAAGGGCACCACGGGGTGACCAGCCCCTCCCCACCCAGCCCCACCCCTCCCACCCCCACCTAGCCCCACCCTTCCCACCCAGCCCTCCCTCCCTACCCAGCCCCTCCCCACCCTCCCCACCCAGCCCCTCCCCACCCTCCCCTCCCCCCCAGCCCCTCCCCCCCCCTCTCCACCCAGCCCCACTCCTCTCATTTTTGGATGCACGACGGACGGACAGAATAATCCCCTGTGGGCTGGTGGAACCAGGAGGTTCCTACCAGTAAAATGTAAATGTTGTGGATTCACTCTGCAACACACCGGTGGGCTATAGTAGTGAACTATTTGTCTTTTGTAAACGTGGCACGTTTTTTACTATTTGGCCGTGTCGGGTGGTGGAGGGTTATGACACATTTATAAATAACGCGATCTAACCCAAAAACGTTTATGATGAAAAACAAAGTATCTTCTTGGTTCTTTCGGTAAAGTCACGTAGAATGGAAATAATAAAAGAATAATAATAAAACAATAAAATAATTCTCACGACGTTTCGGCCACAACGCAAGCAGCCGTCCTCAGGTGAAGAACAGGGCTGTCGAGAAGACAGAGTCTGAATGACAGACCTGTTCTTCACCTGAGGACGGCTGCTTGCGTTGTGGCCGAAACGTCTTGAGAATTATTTAATTATGTTTTATTTTAAATTTTTATTATTGTATTATTTCCATTCTACGTGACTTTACCGAAAGAACCAAGAAGATGAATCCCTGCAGTCACGAAAGCTTTAAATCGAAACAAAACAAAGTAGTATACAGATCAAGCGCGAGGTTCAGCCAGGGCCCGTGCAAGGCCACGCAGGCTCACCGCCCCGTCTCTTCCCGCCCCCCCCCCGCCCCACCGCTCCCCCCCACCTCGCCGCAGGTGAAGAAGCTGAAGCGAGTGCTGCGCCAGGCCAAGAAGGACGGCAAGCAGGCGGCCGAGGGCTACCGCCGGCTGCTGGGCAAAGGGAGCGGCTCGGGCGGCTGGGAGGACGGGGGGGGCGGCGGGGGGGGCACGGGAGGCGGCGGGGGGGGGCTGCGCGCCCCTCCCCCCCCGCTCCCCCCCAGGGGGCCAGGCGACGGCACAGAAGCGAGCGCGCCTCAACGCCATCCCTTCAGATCCTGAGGCGCCCGTGCCCGCGCGGCTGCCGAGCGGCCCGTGGGTGGTGTCGGGGAAGTCGGGGGTTGACACCCGGCCCCTGGGAGCGCGGGGGGGGGGGGCAGTCGGCCGTCTGTGTACGGCACGAGATCCCGTAGCGGCGGCGGCGGTGTCGCGCCGACATTGTCGCGGGCGACCGCGCAGATGCGATAAGGGGCCGAGTGGTGACCGGGCGACGCGTCCTTGGGGGTTTGGTCGACGGCGGCGACCCCCACACCGCTCGCACGTCGCTCCGATCGCCGTGCGGCCGGAGTCGGAAGAGCAGAGGCGGCGGGCGGTGGGCGATCCTGCGTCGTGTCGCGCCACGATGCGGTCTTGACGCTCGCGATGCGTGCATCGAGCGGCGTGTGTGGGATTCGGGCGGCGTTACATGTATGCAAGTCATATGCGACATACGCTACGCTTAGGTTACTGGAGCAAAAGAAAATGTAAAAACGAGTTGAGTTTTGTTGTTGTTAATATAGAGAATATTAATATACACACGACGACGGGGGCCGCGAGAATTAAGACAAACGGTGGGAAGTGCACCACGTTGTGGACGTGACGCGAGGGGGGGCGGCCGTGCCGCCGTTGGGGCCCACCGGTGGTCGTGGTGTTGTGGGGGCCCCAGGGGCCATCACCACCGGTGGCCGTGGTGTTGTGGGGGCCCCAGGGGCCATCACCAGTGGCGGTCGTGGTGTTGTGGGGGCCCCACGGGCCATCATCACCACCAGTGGTGGCCGTGGTGTTGTGGGGGCCCCAGGGGCCATCACCGGTGGTCGTGGTGTTGTGGGGGCCCCAGGGGCCATCACCGGTGGTCGTGGTGTTGTGGGGGCCCCACGGGCCATCATCACCACCAGTGGTCGTGATGTTGTGGGGGCCCCAAGGGCCATCACCAACGGTGGCCGTGGTGTTGTGGGGGCCCCAGGGGCCATCACCAGCGGCCGTGCCGAAGCAAAGCAAAGCCCTGCTGGCCCAGATGTCGTAAAAGCAGTGAGACTCACTGTAAATATTTACAGTGAAGCCTTTTACAAGAAACAACTACGAGCTCAGTTTTGTTTAATTTGCTTTTTGTAATGTGTAGCGCGACTCCGTTTCTGGAAAATGGAGCACAATATCGATATTATTATTATTACGATGATGATATAACACGGAATTAAAGTGTCTGGTGATCTTGGACTCTTGAAGCGATACAAGTGCAATGTAATGTGGTTCCACGTGGCAGCCTGCAAGCCCCAGCCATACGAAACGCGGAATTATGCTCCCTGAGAATTAACAATTGTGGTCACGTAACAGAAACTACGGACCGTGTCGTGATCCCACCTAGGTGTGGACCTCCTTCAACGAAAGAGGAGGAGGAACAGCAAAACTGCTCCCAACTCTCTCTCATGATGTCCTCTCGCCGTGGCCGGCAGCAGACCTCTGACATTGGCACCGATCTTGTGCACGCGCCGAACACAGAGCAGTAACGTCTCCTCCTTCCACGCCCCCTCGGCCGTTGTAGCGGGCGGCACGGTCCTAGGACGTGCGCGTGTGACACAGCTCGATGGGATTGGTCGTGCGGTGTCTTGTAGGGTTCCTTGACGTTAGTAGCAGGGTCGTGAAGTCCGCGTTACAGAAACAGCCAGAGAGCTGCACTTGAAGAACGCAACTCGTACGGCGGTGAAGATTGCACAGTGGGGGTTGACGCGGGGAGGGGAAAGAGGTTCGTGTGGAAAATGCAAGGATCGTAACGGTGGGATGGGGATAGCTCGTGGCAGGAAAGCATTGGGGAGAGGAGATTAGGATGATGATGATGAGTGGGACTCCCGTGCAGGGAGGAGATGGAGGACGACTCACCGAGGCCACCATCGGAGTGGCGCCCAAAAATCGGTGGCCAGGGGGAGCCCTGAAACCACGCGGTGGTGATGGCGGTGGTGATGATGGTGATGGCGGTGGTGATGGTGATGATGGCGGTGGTGATGATAGCGGTGGTGATAATGACAGTGGTGATGGTAGTGATGGAGGTGATGGTGGAACTTAGAACCGGCTGAGGTGGGGGGGGGGGGGTTGAGTTCCGAGCGAGCATCGGCCGCTGGCTCCTGGCGCGAGCAGCGAGGGAGCTGTGCCCGTGCGTTCTTGATGACAGCGAGTGTGTTTCAAATTATGGCTGCAACTACACTGTACCAATTTACTGTATGCTTTACGGTTGCAATATCCTGGCGTCGCCGTGCCTAGGACCATTGCAGGCCCAGGTGTCTCCTCCCTTCGACGGGAGAGCGGTCTCCCAGGAGACATCGAGAGAGTCGCTCTGACGGGACGAGGGGGGGGGGGGTACAATCGTCGTGTGGCCTGTCCCTGGCCTCCTTCTCCCTGACCCCGGCCTCCTGCATCCCTCCTTGGCTATGTGCGGTACCGGATTAAGCTAGTGCGGGGCCTGTAGCTTATGTTATAGAGGGACACTGAAATATTAAAAACATAAATGTTTAACTTGCATAGTAAATTAATTGTATTTTTTCACTTGCTATACAAGCAGATAATACGACAAATCGCTAACCTTAAACACCCAGTCGTTCATAAAAGTTGAAGGCGGTATAGTGCTATAGTAATAGAGCAAGTGCAGAATCACTGAACCGGAATTGATAGCTTGAAAGCATTTAGCGTGGGGCCCTTGGAAGTAGCTGCTACACGTGTAGTAGCTCCTACACGTGTAGGAGCTACGACACGTGTAGTAGCTACTACACTTGTGTGTAGTAGCTACTACACTTGTGTGCTACTACGATAATCCGGGCAGTGGGCGAGGATGGCCTTCACCCCTCGGCCCCTTCCCCCCCCCCCGGCCCTCACCCCCGGCCCCCCCCCCCCCCGGCCCTCAAGCCTCCCTCCCCGAGCCGCGACGACAGACGGATTATCAAGCTCACACTTCAAAGCCGCCACCACACCCACCCCGCCCCCCCACACACACAACCCCCCTCTCTCTCTCCTGAAAGAGCCATTCATTCACTCATACGCCAAGCAGCACGAGGAGGGCACACGGCGCGGTCAGGGAAACGTTGGTCGCAAACAGAGGAACGAGCTCAGAGCGTCGGGGGCTGTGGGGTAGGGGCCGACGGGAGCGTTGCGAGCGTTCCGCGTCCGGCTCAACCACGCCGCCGCCACTACCGCCACCCTCGTCTTTAAATCGGAGTCGATGTGCGACCACGTGGTGCCACGCGCGCTCAGCGTGGGCCGCGTGGAGGTAGCGAGGGGGGGGGGGGTGCTGCCACCGTTCCCGCTGCGCGCGCGCGGTCGATCAGAACTGCTGCGACAAAGTTGAACAACGGTTCGCCGGCAAATCTCAGTGGCGAAAACATCAATTGGTGCTGCCCTAGCAGGGTCCATATGGGACCGCCGCCACCGCTTCTCACGACGCGTTTGGCCGGGTTCATGAGCCACGAGGGCCGCTCGCGATTTTTGCGGAGCGCACGAAGCCCCGGGCTGCGACGACGGAGCGACAGACGCGGCCAACGTCGCAGCGAGCGACATCCAAACCCATCGTGGGCCCACCCGTGCTGACCGGCGTGGTGAAGTATGGTCAAACCTTCCCCCACCCCCCCCCCGACATAGAAGTCCTTCATCATGCGGTGAAGTGACAAAGGAATGAAACACCCCCCCAAGGTGATGATGTCGATTTCGAGGTCAGACAAAGAAGGCCCCCGACCCCGTCACCTTCCGGTTGCTTGCGAGCGGCGGGGAGAGCGGCGCGTGGAGCCACAGACGCCAACGCTGTCACACGATTTATTTTGTATTCTAACCTGTCGCGATACAGCCAACGATAGACATTTAAATACAACGTCGTCGAGAAGCGTGCGGGGTGAGTTACGTTGCATGGTGTACAAACGTCTCCGAAGAGGGGAGTCCATCAATCATGAAACAGCCACACAAGCACAGAACCCCCGGAAATCCTTGAAAATATCAGATATCAGATAGAAAAAACAAAACCTTCATGAGTTGTAATTTTTTTTGTATTTTGTTTTATAAACAAATATTCATCGTTAACGACGCTTGCAAAATACGGGTAGAGTTTGTTCTGTGTGTGGAGCGGCTTTCTGGCAGGGTGGCTAACATTCTCGTTTTCAAGAAGTAATTGTCACGAAAGACCTAACGCTGCTCAGTGGATAACGACAGCGAAAGTGGCTGGGACACGCGCCTCACACTCAGAGACACGCGGACTCACACTCAGTCATCGGCAAGTCCACTCAGCTCCACGTCCTCCTGTACCACATCACCTCATCTCTTCTCTAGTCCGTGCCGCGCCCGTTTAGCCCCCTCTATCCGGCCGAACAAAAGCTGTTTAGGCATGCGGTGGCTGGGCATTGCGGGCTACACGACCCAGCCAACGCAGCCTTGCCTGCCGGAGGAGCTCACCGATGGGACTTTGCCAGATCTTTCAAGGATTTGTGAGCTCCTCACACAATCCAGCCTGGTTAAACCCAGGATGGATCGTAGGCAGACAGCCTAAATGTTTCCAACCGGCGAAGATGCACCATTAGGGGGGTCTACGTTTCGCAAACGTAGAGAAGGGAGGGAATGACCGTGGCCGAGAAGACCTGAAGCGTCGTGCGGAGCGACAGACCAGGTAGCTTCCACACAGCCTTATGCAAACGATGAAAAGATATTGCCGCTCGACTGATTCGGAGTGAGACCTCTGCTGTTAAACCGGAGCCGGTCATGAGCACACTGTCCAGGTATGGGAAACTATCCACTCTCTCCACAACTGCTCCATCACCGATTGGGAGCTGTGGGGGTGGAGTGTCCGATGGTACAAAATACCCAGGCAGGTGCTTAGTTTTGGTGGGGCTGATGGTAAGGCCCCACCTCTTAGTGGCACGCTCCAGTTTCAGCAGCAGCGTCTCCAACTCCTCCTCTGAATGAGCAGCAATTACCAAATCATCGACATACATAATATGGTTGACCAATAGGGAGCCATCCCTTGACCACACCCGGGCATCGATCAGCCTCCCATTATATCTGTACCAAATAGAAATCCCCCGTTACAGCTATTGAAGGCTTCACGAACTACGTGGTCAAAATAGATGTTAAATAATGTGGGAGCCAGAGGACATCCCTGTCGCACCCCAAGGTGTACCAGGGAATGGCTCTGACTCCCGGCCATGTAATTTTACCCCGAGCCCGCTCACCATCATGAAGGTCCTTAATGATTGTGAGCAGAGGGCCAGGGACTCCGAAAGCACGAAGAACAACCCAGAGCCCAGGTCTACTGATGGTATCATAGGCCTTCACCAGGTCAATAAAGCAGAGATGTAGGTCTTGCTCGAATTCCCTACACCTCTGCTGTAGCAGATGGACAGAAAATATGGCATCCGTGCAGGACCGCCATTTCCTGAAACCGCATTGGGGCTCCGCAAGTCTCTCCTCAGCGTGCTTATCAAGGCGATGTTGAATAATCCTTGCCAGGACCTTACCCGGCACACTGAGGAGTGAGATTGCCCCTGTAGTTGTTACAATCTGTGCTGTCCCCGTTCTTAAAGAGGGGGACCACCAGTGCATCCTTCCAGTACTGCGGAAACCGTTCAGTGGTCCAGACTGTTGTTATGATGTCAGGTAGGGCAGTCTGTGCACAAACGCCACCCTCCCTCATCATTTCGCTTGGGAGATCATCTCTGCCCGGTGCCTTCCTAGTCTCAGACTCTGGATCACCTTCAGTACTTCCTCAACAGATGGCACTTCAGCCAGCCACTCACAGGGGGGTGACTTCTTCCTCCAATCTTTGAGGCACTGCAGCCTCAGCAGGGTCATCCCCATTTTGTGCCACGATGTTTTCCTGGCTGAGGGATTTGCCCTCCCCCAGGACCTCACAGATATGCTCAGCAAATCTGCAAACCTGTTCCTGGGGGGTTGGAGATTGGATCACCGTTTTTTCCCCTCATGATGGTAATATGTGTGGCGCTGCAGGTTACTTTTTGATGGAGTTAAATAGGGAGTTGTGATCGCGGGCCACTGAGGCAG